AGTTTTGTTACTATCAGTAAATCAGTAATATGAGATATATTCATCCTATTTCGTGTAAGGACTGGTAGTAGAATTATCCCACAATAATACGAGTAGAGCTGATGTTTCCATTAAAGTTAAGATTGCTTTGCTTTTCCAAAAGTTTTTCTCATCTAGAATGGACTGAGCCTCGACCTCGCATAGATCTTATCAGCACCCCCAGCGGGAATCGAACCGTGACAGTGCAGCATGTTAGCCTAACACGTTAACCATTCGGATGCATTGCCGCGTCTGCCCTTGGGTCATAGGGCGGTTGTAAATTTCAAGAAAGGCCATGCCTTTTCTTTAGTGAGATTGTAGATTAAGCAAACGTATTTTTGCTATAACAATAGACTACGTTACATATTTTTCGTATGTAAGCAGTTTCGTTACTACCAGTAAATCATTCATACGAGGTATATTCACCATATTTCGTTTAAGGTGAAGGACTGATAGTAGAATTTTCCCACAATGATATGAGTAGAGCTGACGTTACCATTGAATTTCACATAGCCTTGCTTTCCCAAAAGTTTTTATCATCCAGGATGAATTGCAATATCGACCTCGCATAGGTCTTATCAAAAAACACAGCGGGAGCCGAACCGTGACAGTGGAACATGTTAATTTAACACCTTAAGCACTCCGTTGTATTGATTTGCTATAACAATATACTACGTTACTTATTTTTCGTATGTAAGTAGAGTTTCGTTAATATCAGTGCCCTGTGAACCAAGGGCACTCGTGGCAATGTAGCCGAGTGGTTAACGTGTCAAGATAGCATGCTGGATTGTCACAATTCGACTCCCGCTGGGAATATTGATAAGACCTATGCGAGGTCAAAACTGCAGTCTAGCCTGGATGAGAACAACTTTTGGGAAAGCCTATGTGAAATTTAATGGTAACGTCAGCTCTATTCATATTATTGTGGGAAAATTCAACGACCAGTCCATCACCCTAAACGAAATAGGGTGAATATATCTCACTTTCTGTTTGTTCGAATTTATCAGGATGCCTTTTTGGCTTAGAAACGTCGCAAAGACGTTTTAAAGACTAATGGACGTGGTTACTCGTGGCATAGAAGAATTTTTATCTACTTTGACGATATAATAGTTGCTAGTTGTAATATGGAACAGCATAAACATCACTTGATTGTATTTTTTAAAAGACCATCTCACCATCATCTGGTGATTTACCCTGAGAAAAGGGTTTTGGCGTCGATTCCTTGATCTTCTTCGGATATCGTATTGATGCTCACGGCATGCATCCAAGTCAAGAGGGTCTTGAGTATCAAAGATTTTCCGATTCCACCCAGCGTCAAGACTGTAGAAGTTTTTTTGCATGGTAAATTTTTACTGTCGATTCATTCATAACTGTGCAGACACGCTGAATCCTTTGAAGGAGTATCTAAAAACTCAAAAAAGGATAGCTACCGATCTAAAGATAAGCAGAGCATTAACTTGGCGTTCACTGAAGCAACCATGTCCTCACATCCATATTCAGTTGCAGATTTTCACCTCGTGACCGACGCCTCCGACCGGAATGTGGTGGTGCGCTCTACCTATACTCTTGGCGGTGTATTCATCAGTTAAATATTTCAAACATATGCTAATTGGAATACAATTTCACATCCTAACTGATCACAAGCCTTTGTGCGAAGTCTTCGAGAGCTCTTCAGAGAAGTATTCCCTGCGCAAATTCCGCCAAAATGGACTACATAACACAATTCACAAGTGATGTGCGCTACGTAAAGGGAGCATACACCCTCTGTCGCATTGGCATGGTTTGTGTTGTACCCGACGGCGAAATTGATTACCAGGCCATAGCAGAAGCACAGGAACTTAAATGCAGTCAACTCACCGTTCCTCGATAGCACAAATCGACGATGACGCCGATAGAGACGTCACAAGATGCCAAGATCTGATGTAACATGTTTACGGGAAAAATCGACCCATCCTTCATTCCGCCATGAGGAAATTTGTCTTTTAAGCAGTTCATGATTTGGAAAATCCAGGCCTGCATGCGTCCAGAAAAGCAATCACAGGCCGATTCTCCTGGTCAGGAATGCAAGCAGACTAAAGCCTGTCCAGCTTGCCAAGAGTAAGGTACACAGACTCATTAAGGCTCATATAAGCAGTTTCGAGATTTAACCACATCCATATAGGCATTGTGGATCCTCTTTCACTTCCTAAGGAAAATCACTATCTACTTGCCATTATGGACCGCTTAACACGATGGCCAAAGCCAAACATAGAGAAAGTTAAGAACCTTTGATACTCACTGAGTTTCAGGGTTTAGCACACCAGTAACCTTCGGAACTAAAAGAGACAGGCAGTTATAATCCGAGCATTTCGCCCAATTATACAAATTATTAGGAACGAAAAGGATTCAAACGTGCGCCTACCACCCCCCAAGCTGACGGTATAGTAGAACGCTTCCACTGTCGGCTAAAAGCCTGTCTGAGATGCCAGAGGAACCCGGACAAGTAGACAGACAATGTGCTCTTAGTCATGTTGAGCTCGCGGACCGCGATTAAAGGGGAAACCGACTGCAGTCCAGCATAAATGATTTACGATGTCATTGACAACTGCCCAATGATTTCGTTGACCATACTAACAGTGGAGTACCATCTACCAATTACGTTATAAGATTGACCTATACGATTGAGAAACAACGCAGCACACCTTCAGACCAACTACTTGCAAGAAGAAAGTGCCTAAAGATCCTACGACTTGCAAGTACGTCTACGCCAGAAATTACTGAATATTGCCACTCCTATTCACACCATACAATGACCCCTTTTGCGTCATATCCAGAGACGAAAAACTTCATCTTATCAACAAAGGGTCATCGTGAAATGGTAAGCACAGGGACTCAGGCCTGCAAAAATAGACGAATAAAAAGACATCGCAATTACAAAGAGTAAATCGCACAAATCAATATTAAGGGGAAAAAGAACACAATCCACACATCCCACACACCCGAGTAAAATGGTCCATTCCGCATCGGGAACTTATTTACCATCTTTTCTTTGTATCGAGTCTATCCTGTTCAGATTAGCCTCTAGGGGAGCATTGTAGTGATTTTTACTCTGAAATCATTTTGGCTACATATCTCACGATTATTTCTCAACACACGCAATACCAGATGGAGCATGACTCATAGACAGTGCCCCGCAGGAATTAAGCGGACCTAGTCACCGCATCGAACCTCTCCGTGGAACCAAGCATAATGTGACATTAGAGGTCCATAAGAGTAGTTTGTCAAAAACTCCACGGACTGAGACTTCCTGCCCCGGTGCCGTCGTTACCCTATGTGAGTAAACACTGCCCTCTCGCACCAACATCACGTTCCGCCGTCA